TATATAGTACATTGACCACATGTATCTGGTAGTAATAAATGAAGAGGTGCAAGGTGAAAATAATGCTGCCAGTGATGGTTATGCATCATCTTAACTGGGCCATGATTTTCAGTGATTTGGCAGCTATGCAGTGATGAAACGTTAACAGATTTATAAGGATGAGTCCTGGTGTGGCGCTGGGGGTTACTGCGCCAGACTGCAAGGCCATTTGAACTGCAGGGTTGGTGATTCAAGCTCACCAGCTGCTCCTTGGAAACCCTATACAGGGTCGCTATGGGTTAGAGCCGACTTGATGGCACTTCACAACAACAAACCATCTTGTTAGGTTTTGTGGTCTAATGTGGTCACCCTCCAGTTTTGCATAATGCTGATTTTCACATACTGATGTGATCTGTTGAACCTAACCATGTCAATAAGTAAGGAATGGGTGAATTTACACCAAACAGTTAGTACTGGATAACCTATATGGACTAAGGTATTTCTCCAGAATAAATGTAATCTTAGATTTCATCCCGTATTTATCTAATTAAAGTGTTAACTTGATCTAATCACACATATCATTGTTGTATGTACAGTAATATATTTTAAAGGAGCCCTTGTAGTGTAGTGGATCATGAGTTGGGCTGCAAACTACAAGGTTAGTACTTCAAATCTGCCAGTTGCTTCATGGGAGAAAGATGAGGCTTTCTGCTCTTGTAAAGATGTGCAGCCTTGGAAACCGTATATAGGATTGCTATAAGTTGTAATCAATTTGACAGCACTTAGCCACCACCACCAATACACTTATTTAAAGGCTTTGAAAACAAAAGCAAAAACATTAACATATTAGATCTTTAATGTGAATTTCAAACTAGTCAGTGTAAGCCTATTTTGTAACTCAAGATACTTCATTTTTTGTCTTAATTTGGATTGACAAATAGAGTTGACAATTGTTTGCCTTCTCATAATGCATAATTTTCTTGTAGTATTCCCTTTAAGAGGCATATGAAAAATGATAGCTGTATGGATTTACAGTTGTAAAAGCCATACAGCTGATGCATTCCACACTCTAGTCTTAAAATTTGGGGCTGGCTTCTGTGCATACTATAATAGTTTTTACCATTCTTAACTGCAAACAATATTTGCTCTATTATAATTGAAAAAATACTTATTTTTTAGGCAATCGTTTTCTTTAATAGATAATATTTTCAAATCTTTCTCACAATTTCTTCATTTTTATTTGGAAATTTATATATACAAAATACTTAACATTTGGGATTAATTAAAAGTAAGCACTTCATTTTTAAATGTTGGCAAGTCAGTTCTGACTCATAGTGATGCTGTATAGGGACTTCTGCTGTGGTGCTGTAGGATCAGCACTGGACTGCAAATCACAAGGTCAGCAGTTCAAACCCACCAGCTGCTCCTCGGAAACCCTATACAGAGTCACTGTGAGTCAGATCTGCCTCAGTGGCACTTAACAACGACAGGTTTTCTGAGGAATGGCTGGTGTATTTGAACCACCAACTTGTGGTTAGCTGTCCAGTGTTCATTCTACAGCGTCACATCAGAACTCCAGTAAACATTTCATACCTAATATAATCCTTATGGGGAGTGTGGTGACTTTGTACAATAAGCATTGGACTGTGAACCACAAAGTTGGCAGTTTGAGCTCACTAGTCATTTCATGGGAGAAAATAAGGCTTTTTGCTTCAACAAATATTTTCAGCCTCAAAAACCTTACTCATAATCCCTGTGAGTCAGAACTTACTCAACAGCACTTAACAACAATAACGTAATCACTAAATTAAGTATTAAATAGGTAGTCTGTTTTATAGTAAATACAAAAATATTATGATGAACATTTTAGCAAAAATAAAAATATAAGTAGTTCCTATAAAGAAAATCTCTGCTACCTAGAAGCCTCATGTCTCTTTCTCAGAAAAGCAGTTAAAATCTAAAAACGTGGGAGAAGCCAATAAAAAACTTCTCCCTCATGATGATACCCAAGGAGCCCTGGTAGTATAGTAGATGACGAGTTAGGCTGCTAACTGCAAGGTCAGCAGTTCGGCTTTACCAGCTGCTCAGCGGGAGATAGATGAGGCTTTGTGTTCACAGCCTCAGAAACCCTATCTAGGGTTGCTATGAGATAAAACTGACTCCAGGGCACATAACCACCAATCCCACCAATGCTGACACCCAGATGACTCAAAATCATCTTACAAAAAAGAAGATAAATGGCATCTGACTTTGAACCCATCTCTATGTTGCCTATACCTTCCTTGAGACAAAGTTAATGACTCCTTCCTCATGGCACTTTACCCATATGCCTTTATTGCACCTGTCATGCTGTTTTGTAATCTATCTGTAAATTCCTAGAAGTAGAGACCATGTTAATTTATCTTAATTTCTTCAGAGTATAAGACATAGATGTAAACAAATATTTGCTTTAGTAATGTATAAATTCTACAAAGGTAGACATTGTTGTCTTATTTATTTAACTGTTGCATCTCTAGGGCCTAGAATAATGCTTAGCACAGAATTGGTATCTAATCGATATTTATGGAAAGAGTCAATAGACAAATGAATCCATAAAGGAATGGAGGGACTTTAAATCTTTATGAAAAATGTCTATAGCACAGTGAAAGAAAACTTAGGAAAGTTTGAATAGAAATTATTTCTCATTTTATCTCTGGTTTACAGAATGATAAAGTCTCGGCCTCTGGATTATACCTTTGTTCCTCGAACGTGGATTTTCCCTGCTGAATATACTCAATTTCAGAATTATGTGAAAGAATTGAAGAAAAAACGGAAACAGAAAACTTTTATAGTGAAACCAGCTAATGGTGCAATGGGTCATGGGTAGGTTTATTTTCCTGTAATATTCAAACAAAAAACCTAAAGAAAGAATAAATGTGAACAATTGCTCACAGCTGCATACCAATATTAAAAATTACAAAAAAAATGTTTCCAACTTTTGGTATTATGAATCTAAATATTTAATGAGATTGTTCCATAGGCTTTGGTAATTAAAATTACAAGTTAAGTCAACAACAACATCAACAACAAAAAGTTAAGCCAACAGGTTGTGAGACTTTGAGATCTTAGAAGGTAGGAAAAAAGAGTTTCCTAATGTTTTTACACTTAAGACTTGCATTTATAATTTTAGAGAATCATATTAGTTGATATGGAGCTAAATTAGCTTGGAGAAAGCTAGCAATATTGAAGAAAACTATGTATTTCACTTGCTTAAATTTTTTTATTCTTTATGTAACCATGGTAATTAGACTGAAAATGAGTAGTACATTTTTTTAATCTGAGGTGTTGATAAAAATTAGTTATATTAGTTTAGATTAGAATGTGAAACTTAATCTTCCTGTTTCCTTTTTCTTGCTTATGTTTAGTGAATTTTCTGCACTGCTTTCTTCAAAGAAACTATTGCTGAGGTTGCTTTTAATTAAAAAGTCATGAAGACATGAATCATTTTAATCTTTGATTTAAAATGTGCTGAGAAGAAAGATATTTGGAAATGTAATTTATTGTTCAACAAATTTCTTTGAACGTTTATTCTTGAGCTAATAATTTTATCATACATTATTTTAAATTGTGGTTTAGTCATTTAATAATAAGCTACCACTAATATTAGTAGGAATTTTATGGTGATTAATTTGAAGTCCTGGTGTGGTGCTGTGGGATAAAGCACTGGACTGCAAGGTCAGGTTGAGCCACAAGGTCGGTGGTTCACACTCACTAGTGGTGGTGGTGGTTATGTGCTGTGGAGTCGGTTCATAGTGACCCTGTACAGGGTTTCCGAGGCTGTAAATCTTTATGGAAGCAGAAAGCCTCATCTTTCTCCCATGGAGCAGCTAGTGGTTTGAAACTGCTGACCTTGAGGTTAGCAGCCCGATTCATAACCACTACGCTACCAGAGCTCCTTACACTCACTACTAGTAGCTCCTTCGAAATCCTCTACTGGCTTGTTATGAGTTTGGAACCAACTTGATGACACTTAACAACTACAATATTAAATGTGTTGTTGGGTTTCTGTGTGTTAGTACTAAAGGACATTTTGTAATGGAATATAGCTGATGTTTATAGTTTTAATGTTAAAACATTCATATTAAGCAAAGCAACTTTCTGTCATGAATGTTTGCTTTGGATAAGAAGTATTCTTATTTGTTTTGATGTCAATTATAAAAAATAAGTGGAAAGGCAGATAATTGGAAGAGCATTCTGTGTGGCCAGGGCTTTTTATTAGTACAGTAGTACATGGGTAAAGAACCTCTTTCTCCTTTGTTTGCTATATCTGTTTATGTGCTGATCTTCTGTCTAGATGACTATTCATTATTGAAAAGGTGATAGTAAAGTTTCTCTTATTGAAGTATCTATTCCCTCAGTTTTGTCAGTTTTTTGCTCGATATATATTTGGATTCTTGTTCTTAGGTTCATTTATATATGTTGATAATTGTTGCATCTTCTTGATTTTTTTTTTTTATAGGTTGACTTTTTTTTCTTTTTTTAATGTTTTATTGTGAATTATGTGATAGTTTACATGGGAGAACATTAGTTTTACATTCATTCTATCATATATTGTCTCATTGCCATGGTTACAATCCCCTCCATGCAATCCTTCCCCCGTACCCCCCAGGTCTTCAGCACACAGTCGCTCTCCCTCTCTGGATCTAAAGTCTCCAGCTGCTCCATCGCTCCACGTCATCATCTCTGGCTCCATTTCAAGCATCACTGCTTCTCTGGGTAGGGTCCTGCTCTCTGCTCTTCTCCCTTGATGGTCCCAGGGACCTCCACTCCTAGACTGAAAAGTTAATCACTCAGCTCCTTGCTATAAAACGTCTACCTTTACATTTCCAACCCTCACAATCAGTCCTGATAACAATTATTCAATATTGTATCACAAGAGACCCGTCTGCATTTCATTGTATCAGCCCTGCCTAGACAGATTGAATACTACTCACTGGAGACTCTACATTCCTCCATGCCCTCTGGATCTAGGTTCCCTCTTGAAAGCCAGTCACTTCTTGCCCCCCACCCCCACCCCCCATTTTGGGTAGCCAATGTCCAAGTTGCCCATCCCTGTCTACTCTTGTGTGTGGAGGGTGTGGGAATGGTTCTTGCTGTAAGTACTTGTTCCCTCTTTTGAGCTACTGCTTCCATAGGTGTAGGTCAAGTTCATCAAATTGTATGAGAATACTTTTTTTTCCCCTCTTCTTTTTACTTCTGGTTGATATAGATTGATTTTTAAAAATCTTTGTTTCTTATAACAATTTTTGTCTTGAAGTCCATTTCCCCCCATGCTGGTTGTGTATCCATTTTAGCTCTTTTTGATTATTGTTTGCATGGGATATCTCTTCTGTTCTTTCGGTTTCAACCTATTTGTGTATTTGGATTTGAGTGAGGCTTTTATATACAGCATATGGTTGCCGTATACGTTTCTTTATCAATTCTACCAAAGTCTGTTTTTCCATTGGAGAGTGTAGACCACTTACATTTGATGTTAAGCACCCTGGTAGTACAAAGGTTAGTTGGAAATCTGCTTGTAAGGAGGTCAGCAGTTTGAACCCACTAGTGGGAAAAAGAACTGGCAATCTGTTCCCATACAGACTGTTGTTACATACTGTGGAGTTGGTTTGGACTCATAGTGACCCTGCACAGGGTTTTTGAGGCTGCAGATCTTTATGGGATCAGAAAGCCTCATCTTTCTACGGCTTGGGAAATGATATGGGCATTTCACTCTGTCTGTAGCATCACTATCCATCACTCGCCTGTCAGTTTGCCATTTGGTAATCTGTGTTGCTGTGATTCTGGAAGCTATGCCACCAGTACTTTAAATAAATACCAACAGGGCCACCCATGATGGATAGGTTTCAACTGAGCTTCCAGACAAAGAATAGGAAGAAGGAGAGAGAGACTACTTCCAAATATCTTGTCACTGAAGATCTTAGCAGTGGAACATTGTCAGCACCAGAATATTGAATATAGAAGCATGATGAAGAACACCATAATATTATCAGATATGGTGCCTGAAAATGAGCCCCACAGGTGGAAAGACACTTAAAATACAACTAGGGAAGAGCTGCCTCCTGAAAGAGTTGACTGTGATGATGCAATAGAGTAAAGCTTTTGAGACCGTCATTTGCTGATGGGGCAAAACGCAAAATGAGGAGAAAAAGCTGTAAACAACCATCAACAATCAGAACATGGAATGTATGAAGTATGAATCTAAGAAAACTGGAAGTTATCAAAAATGAAATGGAATGCATTAAGATAGATATCCTAGGCATTAGTGAACTGAAATGGATTGGTATTGAAATGGATTTGAATATGACAGTCACATGGTTTGTTATGCCAGGAATGATAAATTGAAGAGGAATGGCATCACATTCATCATCAAAAAGAACATATCAAGATCTGTCTTGAAGTACAATGCTGTCTGTGATAGGATCATATCTATACACCTACAAAGAAGATCAGTTAATACAACTTTTATTCAAATTTACATACCAACCACTCAAGCCAGTGATGATGAAATTGAAGATTTCTACCAACTTCTTTCATTTAAAATTGATCAAACCTGCAATCAGGATTTATTGATAATTACTGGTGATTGGAATGCAAAGGTTAGAAACACAGAGGAAGGCCTTGGTGGGAGAGATGATGCTGGATGACTAGGGTTAGTGTTAGGTATGAGGATTGGACTAGGGCTAGGAGTAAGGTTTGGTCTAGTATTTAGGGTTACAGTTAGGCTTATTTGTTTTTTTCTTTAATTATATTTGATTTCTTTATTTGGAACTTCTGTAATTGTATTATTCCCTCTTTTGGCTTAGTAATGTTTGTTGTTGTTGCAACTGTATCTCTGGTTCTCTATTTTCTGTCTTAAAGGCCTGTTTTACATTGAATACTTTTATATCTGGGTTGCATGTAGCTAATATTGTCCTGTATGTTTATCTCGGATTGTTGTTAGTTGTTTTTCTTCCCAAGAACTTCATTTAGTATGTTTTGTAAGCTTGATTTGTTTTTTCAAATTATTTTAATTTCTGTTTATCTGAAAATGACCTAATTTCACCATCATATTTGGTAGATGGTTTCGCTGGGCATATATGGTTTTTGGTTGGCAATTTTTTCTTTCA